GTGTCAACATACCATGAAATGAAGGAACTACCAATTTCCAGCATGAATTACTTGATAAAAGGGACTGCACTAGATGCAGAGTTGTTGAATAAACCAGCAATGCTACAGTAGTTAATTACAAAGTTACTTAAAGAAGAAAACCTGCAGCATTTCACACTGTATGCAATTGGCTCCTAGCATGGCCAACACAGTATTAGCAAATATATAATACATTTCATAAAGGACTGAAGGAAATGCTTTAATGTCTCCAAAAACCACAGTTTAAGGCCAATTCCATATTGACCAGCAATTAGCAAACAGCAATTAGCTTTCTCTCAGTACTTTCCATCAGTGGATTGCAAGTGCAGTATAAAAGGGGACTCTATAATTATGCTTATTTTACTGATGAGGTGAAAGATACATGGGGAGAAGTAATGCAGCCAGTGATATCTGACAGACTAATTGCAGCCTGAGTAGTATCACTCTGCCCCACTAATCTCAGGCAACACTAATGGCCCGTCTCACAGCAATTTTGACATAATTTTCCACACTTCTCTTTTTTTTTACGTTTTTTTTTTCCAAGTGTAATCTAAAGACACTTTATCGGACACATTAACTTTTAATGACAGCCACAGGCAGCTGCAATTTCTCTCAGTAAAATAAATGATTAATTAGTAAAACACAGTATGGAATATATGTCCAAAGTGACTTAGTCCTATTGCTAATTGTAGCAATTAGCTAAAACTCGACAGTCTGCATGGTGTTTTGCAGAGCTCCAAAAAAACCAACCATGGGCTGAATAATTTATATTCCAAATTACACAAACGTACAGACAACACATCTTAGATCTCTAGATTAGCAACTGGTAAGGTCACTTCTGATAGACCCTTAAAAATACCTAAAAGTAGAATTATGTAGCTGATAAACTATATATTTCATAAAGAATATATGGAAAATATGACTATTTCTACAAGCCTAAAGACTTTATTTTTATTATGGCACTCAGTAAAATTAATCTACAAGCTCAACAACTAAAGTTTGAACAAAACCCCATTATCACTGACTACATGGATTCTTTCCCAATACAATAGTATTTATTTATTCTGTTTATTTCAGCAAAAAGACCTTCTCTTGCTAGGCACAAAGCCAAAACCAAACAAGTTTTGCTCATATATCTTTGCCTGAAGTGTTCGACCAAAGATTTTTAAAAAGGCAAAGCTCTTAAATGTCCCCTCGATTAGCCAGACTTCGATATTGTCTAAGCCACCTATAACTGAAGCCATAATAAAAAGTTAACAGATGGAAATAATTTCATTCTCATCTGGAAGAGTACAGGAAAGCCAACATATTGCTTGGTTAAGAGGTGTTATATATTCATTATTGCTGATAGCAATGAGTGAGAAAGAAGCTACAGTCTAGTTTTCAGAAGCTCATTGGCCAAACACAATAAATAGGTTGCCAGAAAGGTTATAAAACATAGAAAGTATAGAACATCAATTTTCTATACTTTCCCCCCATAATGGGGGATCCAAAAATGACAGAGAATAATTGCAGAAACATTCAGAGCAGAGAGTCCTGTCTCAAGTTAGAAGGTCAAAAGTCAATTTCTTAGGAGTGGACAAAGCTCCAAAATTCATCCATCCAACTCATATTTTCTTGTCTTCTCTCTTTAAAATGAGAGGAGTTATTACTGACAAAAAGTTCTGTACTACAAGACTTTCAGAGAACAAAAACCCAAAAACAGTCAAAATAAACATCCAAGAGCTGGAGAGAAAAGGGAAACCACGAAATCATGGACAGGTTGCAAAACAGCTTGCACTGTCCTCTGTGCTGAAGTGGCTTTTATCAAGCTGCCCATACTGGGTAATACAGGTCATTCTCTGGTGGCACTTTTTCGTGAAATCATGCATCCCACAGGTCTTGGTCACACAATTTATCGCAGATTTGTCTCTCAGAAATGGAACATCCATGAGAAAAAGCTGCAGACAAGATTGAGAGAGATCTTCTGGAGCACTTGGAAAATCACTGAGTTTCCTCACCTGCCAGGGCCTTCCAGACTATCCAGCTTTGATCAGTGAGGTTTCCCAAAACCGTAGGAAACAATCTGCCTTATGAGCCTTGCATGGCCCAACCCATAAAGAATTATTAGGAGACATTTTCAAGACTTTTTCACTGAAAGTGAAATGGTAATTAATTCTCTTAATTGAATGATCATTCATTAACCTTTGGCTAAAAACATTCTCAGTCTTGAAAGTTACTGCCATGTCTTCAATTTCCCTTTTCAAGATAAGACTAATAACAACCCTGTAAGTCTGCAGCACAGTATAGCATATATTGTGTGCAGTTTTTCCATTTAGATTCTTCAATTACAAGCAACTGCAGCAAAAAAAACCCTACACATTTTACTATCTAGTATTACATTTTGGCAGATCATAATTAAATTATTCCTTAGAAGCAGCACTCAGCGCTTAAGAAGAAGGATTACATTGAATAACAGGACTAATATTTTAACTCAATTAGCATGTTATTTTTCAATAAAAAGGTATACACTACTGTAATTCCTTCTTCGGTGGGTAATATCAGCTATAAAACAGAAATACTGCAACTTTTTTTGTAGTAACCCACTTAATTTTGTAACAAAGTTTGTACACTTCGTATATTTTTGAAGTGGATGAAAACATGTGGCATATTATTATTTTTATAAATATATAATCTTATTTTACACTCTTGCAAGCATGGAATATCTCAATTCTATTAAAGACTGCTAGAGACTATGCTTTACTACATCTAAAAATGCTTGCACATTCCATGGTAAGAATTTTTCTTTTATGTCTTTTGTTCTGTACTGTTCTGAGTTTGATTTATAATACTGGTTGGGGCAGAAATGGTTTTTGGATAAAAAAATTACATCTAGTTGCAATGGAAGCAAGGGATCTTCTCCATGGAAAATGTCTGCTAAATATGCTCAGATGACTTATTTATCAGATTCTTCAATACAATATTTCAATTTTATGGGATTATATTTTTCTGTAATTTTTCACTAATAATTTAAAAGTGACATCAACATATAAATGTCTGAATTTCTGAAGATAATCAAGTCGTGTCATTTCAGTCTAACATATTTCAGGGTCATGTCTTCATTGTTCAAAGTAGCTAATCAGGCTTTTTTAAGGTAAATTACAGCACATATGGACATCCAAATATAGGAAGACAAAAATTTTGATTTCATAGGGCAAGAAAAAAAGAAAACTAGAGACAGACTATGCTATAGCCAGCTGGGGAGATGAAAATTATATAGTACAAAGGAACAAAAAAGTAAAAGACTCAATGATTAAGATGAAAAAATAAGATCAATGAGTTACATATGGAGGTATTAGCAAATGGACATGAAATTCCAGTGAGTCACATGGAATACCTTATGTTCCTTTGTGGAGATCACCTGGTGAATGTTTTTAAAGATGAAGTACTGAAAGGTACAACATATTTCCAAACAGAAAACAACAGTAGATTTTTACACAAGTTTAATGGAACCCTAAGTTAAAACTAAAATTCTTACATTTACCATCATGGTAAGAATGACCTTTCCTGAGCATTATAGAATTATTCACGTTCGAAGCAACAGAGAATGCTGCCAATAACACCACCTGAATGTTAGAGCTTCTACATCATATAATATCATAATTCTTATTTACTTCCAGATAAAATCAAGTTATAAATCCTTTAAATTCACTCTATATTCTCACATTATAAAAAAAGCAACTAATGGAGAATTAATGATTTCAGTTCTGGATTCAGTAGCCCAGAACTGCATTAAGGATCCATACAGCACAAATCAAGCTCATAGTGAGACTGGAAAGCCTGGAGCTTGCCAATGAGCTGTTTAGGAAGACTAATTGCAAACTATCATGCAAACCTTTGACAAATCTTTTCAGATAGGACAACAATTGAATTTAGATACAGATGACCTAGAAGCGAGCAGTAAACCTGACACCCCCCCCCCCCCCCTTCAATTTATTTTCAGTCCTTATTATACGAGTCTTCAACAGGAGAAATTCTGGTTTCATCTTCAGGAAAAAAGATAACTATGATGTAGTCACATATTGGAATGGTTACCCAGAAATGATGTTGAGACCCCATTAAGATACCAAAAGTTTAAGTGAACAAGGATCTGAACAACCTCTTCTGAGTCAGCCTTGCTTTGAGCAGAGATGACGGAGCTCCAGAAATCCCTCTGAACAAGCCCTCTGTATTTCTATGAACTATATAGATAGAAACAAACAGAACCTCCTTGTAGATCAAAACATAATGCAAACTGCAATTCGCTAACAATGAAGATGAAAGTTCACAGCATATACCTAATTTAAGGCTCCACAGCTGGAAAGTATAAAAAAAAACCCAAATAATTTTATTTCTCTAAAATTCTAAAGGCAAACAGACAAAAAAGAAAATTTTTCTAAGTAACACCAGCAATCCATAGGGGAAGCAGGAGAATATAGCAGGACAAACAAACCAGGACTCTTGAAATTGTTAGGAATGGCCCAGTGAATGGTCTAGAAAATCTGATTTCAGCCATCATTTACAAACTCAAGCTGGCAAACGTTTAGTACTGTAACTTAAAAGATTTTTTGTTCCTCTGCATCTCTCATCTGATTAAATTGCATGTGACTTCATAACAGGTAACAATTGTAGTAAGAAAACTGAAATGCTCTAAAATACTGGAAGAAAACAATAAAATGTATTTTGCCCAGAAGCAGTTGGCCTCCCCTGCCCCTTTTTTAGTAAAAGCTCAAAAAAAGCTTTACACTCTGGACACCAAGATGGCAGGATCATTTAAATTCTTCTTAAGTATAAACTTTCTGACCTTCACCATGTTGAGGCATGGCTATTTATACCTCTGCATCCATTCCATGTATTCAAGACATATTAAAAGACATCAAGTCCATAAACTTTACTGACCCTTTTCTGCTGCTTGGTTCATTAATGCTGAAACATATTAATGTAAAAAATAAGTGGGTGATTACCTCTTGAAGAACCCTCTTCATTTTCAGAAGCAGTGTCTTGACAGCAGTGCAGTCTTGGAGCATCAATCTGAAGGGCAGAGACTCAATGCCTCCACCTTCTTCCAGCCCAGCGAAAGGCCACTCCACAGATGGGCTGCCAGCCAGCTGGCTGACACGAGGGTACCTGGCTTCTCCTTGCTCCACCTCCTTCGACAGCTTCAAGGATAGATTCCTTGTGAGAGAAAACAGAGAGGTCAACACTAAAATATGAAAAAGAGCTAATAATTTGGGGGGCGGGGGGTGTGGGGTGTGGTAATTCCTCTGACCTTAAAGACACTTAAACATTTTCTTTTAGAGCCCACTAGCATGAACAGCCTTTATAACATACATGCAGCCATACGGTGCTAGCAATAAAATATACATTTATGAGAGGACCATATTCTACATGAATTAAAAGCATGTTCTAGCTCACGCCCTACAAAAGAAAGTAATTTTCTTAAAACAAAATATCCTATGGGCAAAACTTCTACAGGTCTATTTTATCTCAGTTGAGCTTTACAAAAAATGAATCTGTCATGCACTTTCAGAAGCTAAATCAAATCACAGTCTTCCATGTGCTTTGGCTTAGAAAGAAAAGAAACTGAAAAAAAAAAAAATACTCCCTTCAGGGCTGGCCCAGTGACATAAGATGAACCTGCTATTGTATAAAATGGAATACAGAATTTAATTCATCTGCTCTCACTCTTAGGTTTAGCTACTACTAAAGCTATATAAGCAGAACATGAAACAAAACAACAGTAAGTTGTGGCTGAGAATCCATTAAAGACACAGAAAGATTTTGATGGACTTTAAAGGTAACGAAAGACCATTACTTTGCTGCATACACACTATCTTCCTTTAATATCAGAACAAGTTATCTAAACATTTTTCCCATTATGAAGTCACACTAAATTAACTCAGTACAATTAAAGGTGATAGCGTAAGCAGTGAAGAAAATCACAATTATTGATCATTTTAAATATTGTTCTGATTTTCTCTTCCATTTGAAGTTTTATGCAACACAAAGTTGATTCTGCTGTAGTTTGGAAGGACAAAGAACATTTTCCCACATAAGATTTTCCTTAGCTTTGGTTTTATTTGATCCACAGACAACATCAGATTCAGGCAATTAAGACAAACAATTCCCACTATCATAATAAAAATCTTCAAAATTAGAATACTATAACTATCTTTTATGGATGGTTCATTTTTATACTTTGAAAGCTACGCAATATGCAGTAAATTCAACATATTAGATTAGGCAATCTGTGGCACCACAGAGATCACACACACTGACAGATCCTCATGTTGGCCAATGGAACTAAAATTTCTAGCACTTCAAGACTTGTAAAACAACAAAAATTAGTCTGTTTTCATTTTAAAATGCACTGAAACATATTTGAGTGGAGTATTTTGCATCATTTAAAATAAAAACATGGTAATGGTAAAGTTGCTTTTGGTTGAAGGACATTAAACCACTGCTGTTTTATAGCCTTTAAACAAGACCCAGGTAGAAATCATGCAAAGAAAAATAACTTATGAAACTGAAGTATCATAACATAGACCACTTTTAAAGGTTTATAAAAGAAGCCATATTCAAACTATTGGAATCTACATGTGCATAAGATTTATGTATGCAGAAAAGCAGATTACTCAAATTAAGATGAAACAAGGTTCTCTTTTTTCTCCACACAGCACCTGCAGACTAGAAAATGGATTATTCCTTAGTATATTCAGTACATTCACTTCCTAAATCCCACTGAAGTTTCATCTTCCTCATATTCCTCTGCAGACATTCTATGTATGGCTCCCATCCTGGCCCTGAGAAATGACCAATTTAACATGTACTGTCTCCCAAGAGGAGTCTTTTACTGCCTGTTATCAGAGGGAAGAACCTGGTATCACCAGCCATGCTCTGTTCCCCAGTGATAAGAAAATAAGCTGTATTCTTGGAAAACTATCCTCCCCTCTGGAAGAGATACATTGTTTATTTATAAGCTATAGATGTACTGCAAATATAGCAATTCTGAATTTCAAATCAAGACAATATTTTCAGTTACTTCAGTCGGCTTCATATTGCTATCACACTACTCAACACAAAAACTACCATTCTTTCAAGCACAGAATCTTGCACTAAATATGAAAAGCACTGTAATAACTTATTACAACTCAGTCTTAAGAGTTTAAAATCTGACTCAACTGTTTCTTGAACATGGTAACTCAGAGTTCGATGGTATACAGAGAGCATTCAGATTATACAGTCCTTCCTGATAGTTCAGAGGTACTTTAACTGATCTGTGACAGAAAAACTCTGCACTCTCTGATACAACTCATTCTACTTGCTGCAGAAAAAATAAGCTCATTTAAACTTCATTCCAGAAATGGTATTTCATCAAGTTCATTATTAACAGCATCTAGGTGGTCTGTTACATTATTATTATGGTAATCTGCTGCAATTCATCTCAAAGCAGCAACTAACATTTAGAAAGTGGAAAAAAAAAAAACAACCCAATTCTTCCTAAACAAGAAGTTTCACTTTATTAGTAAATATCTTGGCCTCTGAAGTTCAGGTAGGGCTGGTTCCTTGACTGGTAGCGCAGGAGCTCCTTACAGATGGCCAGACCTCTCTACCTTCCCAACCTGCATTCATGGTAATATAACAATTCACAGGCAAATATTGTCTGTGATAAACTTCTTAAGCCCTTGGAAAAAAGTCTTAAAAGGTCTATTTTAATGGCCAAAGCAATGTATTTCCTGTGACAACATTAACTACATAATATTATCAACATACAGTATTTCAGAAAGGCAATTTAGCCACTTTTAAATACATGGCTATGGCCTGAGCTCTAAATTCACCTGCCATACGCTCAGGCTAAGTTCCCACTTTAAAAAAAACGACATCTGAGAACGTTCTGAGCACTGGAAGTCAGTTTCAAAACACTTCTGAAATGGCTTGACCCAACCCCGTTACTGCTCTTCCCAATGAATCCCTGGCATGGTTTGGTTGTCACTACAGGTATATTGGATGGTTACACTCGATTCTGAAGAACTGTCAGTGGCGCAGATGCACACTCAAGTACCATCCCATACTAGAGGTCACCTCAAATCCCTGAGCACTGCAATGGAGCTATGAATGATAACAGATAAAAAGACACAATGTTAGTAGAAAATCCACAGAAACATTGTTTCAAGTCTGTAAATATTAAATATTGTGAAAATTTGCGCAACTCAACGGTACTTCATACTTTGAACCTGCTGGCTTTCTTCTTATATATCTGGACATATCCACTGAGCATCACAAATCTACTCCCTCATTTCTAATTGATACAAAGAATTAGAAGCTACAATAGCCACAGCCAGTAAAATGGTATTGCTATTAAGGCAGATTTCTGTTTCAAAAGCAGTTTTTATTGAAAGAGTATGCTAGCATTAAAACAATCAATCAGTGGCTTTCAGCATTTAATAGCCTCCATCAATCCAATGTAACCACACATTAACTGAGTAAGAGACACAGTTGTGCAGATCCTTTGAAAGCTCCTTTTCCCTACGAAGGTAGAAAAAAACCTCATTTTCTTATACTAAAGAATTTTTAAGGGATTAAAAAAAAATAGGAAAAAAGGGAAAAGAAAAGAGAGGAAAAGGAAAAGAAAAAAAAGGGGGGGGGGGGACGGACGACCCAAAGACATGGATTTGCAGCTTGAGTTTGCTTAAGTCATTCTTCCCGTCTTCCTGATCCTCAGATCAATGACTTCAAGAGCTTATGGTAATTTGAACTTCACTTACATAAAGATCCGCAGATTATGTGGACTTTAATCTTCTTAGTTTTCATCAGCAGTGCTCAAGATGTTGCTAAATCAGAATTAGCCTAAACTAATACAATTGTTTCCCCTGAGTCTGCTTCTCTTTATATCAGCTTAACACTGGAGAACCCATGTAACACTGTTGGCAACAGAAAGGCTCTGAAAACCAAGCAAAAGACCGCAGACTATATGAGAAAAGCTGAATACACCTTGTTTCTTCCCTGAGGGCTTATCTTCTAAAGCAGGGTCTTAGAAAAAGCCTTAAACCTCTGATCTGCAGTGTTTAAATGTGCAGCTGTATGTGTATATATTCATAAAGATACCATGTATATACATATATGTATTTTTATAGCTCTGTGTGTGTGTGTATATATGTATGTTATAGAATTCATACATATACTTATATATAAACACATAAAAATTTGGTCTTGGTAAATTTTTCCAAAAAACAAGTAGTTCTTATTTGCCCATAGATTGGCCCATCCTTTTACACTAGAAGAAAGATGTTTTTAGTTTCATACAGAGTTTATGTCCTGAAATCCTATTTCATATTAATCTAGAAAGCCTTCAATACATATTTCCTTCTCCCATCCAGAATTATCTTTTTCCTCACTAACAGTAAATACATTTTCCTCCTTCAGAGAATTAACTAATTACTATTTTGATAAATATCCCTCAGCTGGACCATGAAGTTAAGATATGCAAGCGCAATTGCTTCTGCGTTTTAGAGGAAAAGCTGCCTACCTCAAATACTTACAAAATTCAGTTTGAAGCACTCTGTGGCTCTCCTAAAATGAAGTACATTATCCATGAAACCCTACTATCATCCCATACTGAATCCTGATCTCTTAGTGATCTCCTGCTAATCTCATCTAGTCAAGAGACATGTTCTGTCCCAAACAGTTCACAACTGAAATACAGAGACATATTGTGGAAAGAAAAAACAAAGCCCCCTCACCATACTTAGCAGAATTAAGGCACAGACATTAAAAAACATCTTCTTAAATACTACAATGAACATACAAAATAATTTCCTGCTAGGTGCCTAAATGTTCTCAAGACCTAGTCAGGGAGGATAAAAAAATTGGCAAACTCCTCACTCAGTTCCAAAAACACAAGCTTTGCAATACTGAGATAAAAAGCTAACCAGAACTTAAACTCTCAGCTACCTGTAATAGCATTCTTTGGCATCAAAATTTCTACCTCTCTCTGTCTCACATAATTTCTTAATATTGCTTCTGTTCTAACAGAAACTGCTTCAGAAGTTGTAGGGAAAAGATCTTGGAATCTTGTACATCAGTGTGTCATAAGGTACTCATTGTTTGACATTTTACAGCTTTTAGAGCTGTGTATCCTATATTGATGCTATGATTTTTCAAGGTCAGCCTTTCAG